TACTTGCTCAAATTTAGCTAAATCAATATTCTATAAAAATAAGAGACAAGTCGCAAAATAGCGCTGATTAGTCCCGATAAAACATTGATAAATCGCGACTAAAAATAAAAGGTCGCTAAAAACTCGCTGACTAATTGCGACATAACATCGCAACAATCGAACACCAAGTCACGTAAAAGTCGCCGATTTTTATCACATGGGTACCTTCTTCAAGGTGGGCGTGGCGTAGAGCGGAAATATAAAAAGGTGAAATTTACTATTTATTCGTTTAGAGTTTTCTTTTATTTCAATTCTTATCTTTTAAGATGTAAAAAGAACAAATATACTATAATGCTGATTTAATATCAGATTCGGTCAACATCGATACCGAACTTTTGTATTTCTATAAATACATTTTCTCTTGCTAATAAACAACAACATTTAATATCAGAAGATAGTTGCTGTGAGAAGAGAGTTAAATAAATGTAAGTAGATGAAACTTAAACTTCATGTTGTTGAATGAATGAAGAGATGTAGTGGCCTTGCATTTAAAAATATTTTCTATGGGAAATACAGTATCTTTGACAAGACATCCATCTGATGTCTTCTTCTCTACATGTAATCTACCTCGATATCGCTAACTAGCTGCTCATTTTTAACCTATATACTTGTGTTTCTCTTATTCATATATTCAGTTAGATCCTCAAAAATAATGGGTTCATCGCCGTCAAAAACAATAGCTGGATTAACTGCCGACTTGTGGCGAAGTATAAATCGTGGTGTGTATGACCAGCAATCACTTACACGAATTCAAAACTGTATTAGTAATGGGGCTGATATTACATCTCCAAATAAAGATCGTCAATATATGAGAGCCGTTGTTCTCGAACAACAACAACGAAATAGTGTGGCTGGGAGAGAGCGTGAAGTTAATATATGTCAGCGTATTATAACTCAACTACAAATAAAGGCATCTGAATTATTTATTCAGCAATTGAATATTGGTGATTTAAATGGGATGCGTCTGTTAGTTAAAACATTAGGAGCTGATTGTTATCAAGGTGAGAAATATGGGCCACTGGGTTTAGTGGGTGATGCACTAAAACAACCAAATGTACGTTTGGCAATTATTGAATTTTTGATTGAAAATGATGAACGAAACAGAATGGCTTTAACAAAACGCGATATTGATGGTGGGGAAACAACATGCATACAACTAGCTACTAACAATAAGAGCGATGTTCACTAAGAACGTCCTCCTCAAATATCTGCTGATATGTGAGAAAGAACGAAAAAGCTCAGAAATTTCTGCGGGAAACAAGTTATGGAAGATTTAGGAAATTTTTCAAATAAATATTAAGCGAAAGCATATACGAACTCTATAAAATCCAACTCAATGTCGATGTCTGCTCCAAAACAAAAACTAATTCTTCTTATAATCATTTTACTCCAGAGATGGGCGAGTACGCAGATTCTCGAGTACGAGTACTGGGCGTCGAGTATGAGTACGAGTACGAGTATTTTCTAAAAAGTACTCGAGTACGAAACTTTTTAAAAGACGAAAATACTGATGAAAAAAGGTTTAGCTGCCTAACAATAGCCGTTTTCAATATCTTTCTGGCTATTGGTTGAAGGAGAGTTAGGTTCTAGTCTTAGTTTTTTTATTTTACTGTTTATTTTTTATTTGTTTTACTTTATCTGAACACACAAGAATGAAACATTATTCTAGAAGATCATTATTGCATTTTAAAAATGTTAACACGCATAACGTTGATGCGATAACTTTGAATGATGTGGGCGGATGATAAAGCCGCTTTGAGAAAAAATTATCTCCCTTGGTGCGGACGTGGAAGGGCAGTAACATATTTTAGAGCTAATTTTGATAGATGAGGATATGATTCATGTTTCGTTAAAATAAGATCATTGTCCATTCTCTATTCTTTACCAAAACTTTCTAGCTCTTCTGATACAGTTGGATTTATATTTAGTATTCTTTTAGATGGATTTTCAAGATAAGGAAGTAATTATAGTAATAATAATAATAATAATAATAATAGTAAAAGAAGAAAATAGCCTGATTTGTTCTTATTTTAATTATAGGTTATTGTATGTTAAGTCATTTGTCAATGAATTTTTAATATCTGAAGAAGATACAAAACTCGCAAGGCCAAAAATTCTTTGTACAGCATACTAGTGAAAAAATTTCAAGTATTCGAAAATACTCGAGTATATTTTTAAGTACTCGTAAAGAAAAGTCCCGAGTACGAAAGAGTACGAGTATTGGAGATTTGTGTACTCGAGTACGAGTATATACTGGTACTCGCCCATCGCTGTTCTACTCGCTGTTATATTTACTGCCATAATTAAATTGCAATTGAAAAACTATTTAAAATTATAATCAGCTGCATCGTCCGATGCTAAATGTATTTTTCATGCTTGAGTTTATCCTTACATTGGTATGATCATTGAAACATGCTTATTATATCAATTCAAAATGTGCCCGAAAAATTGACTTATTCGTCGTCTAGAATGGCGTCTTATTCATCGTCTAGAACGGCCATTTATTCGTCGTAAGAACGGCGCCCATTGACGTCTAATTTATTCGATAAATCGTTGAAAGTTCAGAAAATTAAGTACTTTAGAAGTACGATACCCCTATGCGCGGTCTAAAGTCCTATTTGGATGGCTTTAAAGATGTCAAGAACTATTTACAACTGCAATTCAATATGTTATTAAATAAAATGCCATTTACGCAACCTGAAACAGTCACTGTTAATGAAATAACACAATGGATAACAGATGGTGCTAGTACAGAATGGATTGATGATCAAGGACAAACAGTTTTATGTAAAGCAGTTGATGCAAACAAATTTGATTTGGTTCAAGCGCTATTGGCAGCCGGGGCCAACACAACATTCAAAAACAAAGATGGCTTAACACCGATACAAATTGCTCAAAATAAAACTCCAATCAATGGTCAACTTGTTAAAACATTGGAAAATCATGCTATTAATAATGAATTAAAATCATTAATTCTCAGTCAAACAGCAACAGTTGATGATATTCGTTCACTTTTGCTGAAAGGTGCCGATATCAATACTATTTTGAATGCAAATCAAGATCGACCTTTGCATTTGTTGCTAAAGAACAAAGGAATACCGGAAATGGTTAATGCATTTGTTAATGAATTTAGTTCTGATACGGAACAAATGAATTCTAATGGACATCGACCCATTGAAACCGCTGTTTTGCATGCTGATGATAACGTACTCAATGAAATATTTAAGCTGAAGCAGTTTACGACAGACTCATTTCTCAATACAAAAACTAATAAAAGTTTATTGACATTTGCCACAGAACAGAAGAAACTGTCAGCTGTGAAAGCAATACAAACGGAATTAAATCAACGTTTATGGTCATGTATTTCCTTTTCTTCTTCTTCTAATGATGATGTTGAAAAGCAACCGATAACTGAAATAACTACCGAAGCAACAAAATTAGTTGAACTTGGCGCACAAATCGATCATAAACATAAACAAATTGCTAATAAAGACAAGGATGAATATTCAAAATGGACTGTTCTTCATCTTGCTTGTAAATTGGGTAATTTAGATCTGACGAAATATCTTATTGATAAATTACATTCAAAAGCATACAATCAAGCAGTTCAATCATCTGGTGAATATCCTGTAGCAATTGCTGCTGAATATGGTCATTTATCCATTATACAATATTTGCGAGAAACCTTAGGTATTGATTTAAATGTGGCAGATTCAATAAATAAAGATACACCATTACATAAAGCAGCCAAAAATAATCAATTTTTAGTTTGCCGGTATTTGGTATTGTGGGGTGCTGATCCGGAAGCTGTTAATTTGGCTCAACAAACACCACTGATGTTAGCCGATAATGGAACAAAAGACAGTAATAAACAGTTAGTACAATATTTGGAACAACTCAAATTTGATGAAACACAGCAGCAAGCATTAACAACAGCAGTGCGACCACGTTCAGCACATCGACCGGGTCAAGATTTTGATTTTTGCATGTTAGTCGTGCCGCTTCTCGTTGATAAAGTACAGCCACTCTATGACATTTCACCGGCAAGTAACATGGCACCAAACATAGTTGCAAACGCTCCGAATGATATACTTCGAAGAGCAGCCACCAATGGTGATTTAAACTTGGCTCAAACAGCAATTGTTAAAATGGCTGATGTTCGTCAACGAGACAAAGCTAATCGATCGTGTTTTGATCAAGCACGGATATCAATGAAAGAAAATCAATCACAAGCATTAGCGTCATTTAAACACGTTGATCGACAGCGCTATGAATCAATAGCTTATGGTTGTCGTTTGGTAGCTGATTATTTGCAACAACAAGCGCGTTTCAACCTGATCAAAGCCATTAAAGAATCAAACGCCGGTCGTGTTATTGCTTATCACCAATGTGGGGCTCAATTAACATCTGATCTTTTGCTATTTGCATGCAGCAGTCAAGGTGACAATATTCAAATCGTTGATTATTTGGTCAATAATAGCCAGGAGAATTATGAAGCAATGTTTAAATTTGTTGATGGACAATCATCACCATATCAGACAGCTAAGACAAACAAAAATACAAATATAGCAAATTATCTCCAATGGCGTTTATCAGATAAATTAGCCACTGAGGTCAGTCGAAATGATCTCATTCATGTGAAACAACTCCTACTTGCTGGTGCATCAGTTGATGTCCGTGATAAAAACAATCTGAGTACAGCGATTAAACACAATAATTTACAAATGGTGCAGCTATTGTGTGAAAATGGGGCTCGACTGACAACAACAACTTCCACAAATCCCGACATAGCACTCTATCTCAATTGTTGTATAATCAATCATAATCTTCGGAATGCAGCAGCAAATGGAAATTTCAAAGATGTCATCAAATATCAGCGTTTAGGAGCTGATATTAATTCCAAAAATTGTCATGGTCAAACCCCGTTATTACTGTCCATTCAATATGGTGAGTATTATCCAATTGTTCATTCACTCGTCTCATGTGGTGCATCAATGCTTCACTCAGCTCCAACACAATCGTCTCTGTTAATACTGGCAAAAAAACGAAATTATGAACAAATCTCAAAATATTTATCAAAACAATTAAATGCACAAATTCTTTCAGCAATATTAGATAATGATACGGCAAAAACAGAAAGATTAGGTGAATTGGGTGCTGATTTTAAATGGCAAAATAAAGATGATGATGGAAAAACTCTATTACATTATGCCGTACAATATCATGGTGTTGAATTAGTTGATTGGCTTTGTAAAAGAAATAGTGATCCAATGATTCCAGATCAGTTGGGCAATTATCCGATTGCAATTGCCGCTGAAAAAGGTATGTTCAAGTTGTCTTTATTAACAGTAGCCTCAGTGTGATGAATTTTATAAGCTACCTACTACGCAAGAGTTGTGTTGATGGTAGAAGCTATTTTTGATTTACTTTGTATTAGAATTTATATTATATTCAAGAGGAGGTTCGGCATATGAAATTTGAGCATGTATTATTCGCGCATACTTTCGGGCGGATCTGTTTTTGAAAATATGATCTATATAGCGTGAGATTCAATCTCACGACATATAGATCATATTTTCAAAAACAGATCTCAGAGATTCAATCTGTGAAATAAACTTTGGTTTTCAAGACTTAAATCGTTTTCGAGACCGGTTAACCAAGTAAACGATTACTGCTGGAGCATCTTCGATGTCTATGTGAAATTTATAACTGGCAAGTTCTTTTCGGAGAAGAACTAAGACCGGTTTCTTATGCGGTCAGACACTATGTTATAAGAACATTTCACTGTGATTTATATTTCAATGAGCAAAAACACGGGCAAAAAGGTTGTTCTTCTCTAAAATACATGGTAATAAATTATTTGGATCGAAGGAGTGCGTGGAGCTGGCGAGAGCCGTGAAAGATTGGGGATGGCGCCAAAAAAAATTTCTTGCTACGTGAGTTTTTTATTGAAAAGCTATTTTCGATTATTCGAGCGAATCGTTCCCTCACACACCTCCGGTCGCGTTGGTCTTCGGGGTGCGAAGAAGTACAGGATCATTTGAACTGTGGAAGGCCAATAAGTATAAACAAAACATAGTTCATACAAGAAAGTTCCTTTTTTTCTTTCTCCTTCCAACGACACTTGCAAAATATTTTATCATGAAAGTTGGGACCAAGACTTTGTAATCAAAATATTTCTTGAACGATACAACATCATGTGTCGCCCAGTATTAGTGTTATTTTGAAATATGAGGTGGAACTCTACAACTTTCATCAAAAAGGTGCTTTCTCCTTCAATAAAAATTTAAACGTTTGGTACAAGAACACATTCTTCTTTGATCGACCGTTGATTAATTAACTTTTTTTAAAAAACTAATCTGTTAGAAAATTTAATTTTCCTCCTGGGCTTAGCTTTAAAAGCAGTCATTTCATTTCACACATTGCATTCTCCGAGATGAAGAACATATTTTACTGATCTGAAAAAAACAGAACTCTCGAGACCACACGCGATTATCAGAATAAAATTTCATACGGAATGTTCTTTTCGAACTATACTTACCGATTTTACATTCTTCCAATAAAGTAAAACCAGCCGATTTTCAGAAAAAGAGCTTTGAATAAACAATTCCATTTCTTCTCCCCTTTAGGTGATCATGCTGTTGTGAAATATTTTATCGATAACTATGGTACAACAAGAAGTTTACGAAATAATGCTGGTCAGGATGCATTGGCTATTGCTAGGAAGAAACAATTCCATGCAATTATTAAATTACTCGATCCCAACTATATAATACCAAAAGGTGCTCATAAAAAGAAAGTAATAACAAAACCAAAATATACAAAGGACCGTTTGGATCGTGCCGCAAAATATAGTGAAGTACAAATTATACAAGAATTTATTGATCAAGAATATGAATCAAAAGAAGAAAAAGCTGCACAATGCGAAAATATGATGAAAATTGCTAAAGAAGAAAAATCATTTGAAGTATTATCAATGCTACAGGAATATTTTACTGAATTAACTGCTAAATTAACATCGGAACAAATAGCCCGTAATTTAATTACACTTAGTGAACGTCAACGAGAAATTTTTTATGGTTTTATGGCTAGTTTAAGTGATTTAATAACCGGAATGAATGTTAAACTTGATCCAAACGATCCACAAGCATACAAGGACTTATTGACAAACTTAATGACAAATGATAAACAACGTTCACAAACAATTCAGTCAATGAAAACTGAACAAGATGCAGTTAAAGTGTATCAGCAAGAACTCAACGCCATGGAGAAAAAAATTTCCGATTTAACTTTAAATGTTGATAAAATAATGATGGATAAAAATCAGTTATATGAACAAATTCGTACATTAGAAACAAGTATAAAGGATGATCAAGTTTCAGCAATTGATAAAAAGAAATATTTTGATGATAAAGGAATACTCGAAGCTCAGTTGAATGTATTGGAATCATCAATGCTACTGTTTAAACAAACACAAGAAACAGCCATGAATAAAAAGAAAATGTTAGATTTTATTAAAAATGTACCAAATCTGTTTGTATTTTATGCTACCATTGAGCATCGCTTACAAAGTCTATTTACTGGAGTCTTGGCTGCACAAGCTGGTTTCATGAAACCCGAATTGACAACAACAAAAGCTAACGTAGCAAATACATTACTTGAATTAGCACCATTATCACTGATACCAATAAGCGAAGCCGCTCTAGGTCCCATTAAATTTGTAACTGGAAAATTAATTGAAGGTATAGATAAAAAACAACAACGAAAAGAATTATATAATATATCAGCATTGGGTAATATCGGAGAATTACAAAAAACAGCAACAGTTACAGCCGGCTTATTGACTCTTTACTACAGTCACCAAATTGAATCAGTTGATACTAAAAAACCATTGGTTAAAGGTAGTAATTCGTTAATTACAACTACTGCCAAAATAAAAAATTCATGGGATTCTGGTCCGGAACCCGCGGATGAACAAGTGATTGTTTTACTTGCACAATATATTGTTGATTTTCTGGTGAAAATACTGAAATCACCTAGTGGAAATGATAAAATTGTTAAATATGAACCGTTGGCTGAACAATTGTGGTTATATGTCGCTAAACAAGATATGTTTAAGCAAGAGAAAACGACAAGAGCAAAAGATACACTGGGGCTGTCCACGGGAAAACGTTTGATACCAGTACGGAAATCGGATGATGGTACAACTGTCGAAGTACAAGTACGACAACTATTTGGCTGTGTATCAATCATCACTGGCGAAGGTACCATTTATCGATTTAGCCCTACAAAAACAAGTGATTCTGATTTGAAATTATTCGATATTCGTCAAATGGAAGTTATCTTTGGTTATGTCTATTTAGATCCATTTTTAGCTGATGATAACACTGTGATCGATACGATTATTTCAAATCGAAAACTAGACAAATTGTCTACACAACATCCTGATAAAGTTGAGAAAATTGATGCAAATATAACTGATGGTGTTCTGACTCTAAGAAATGTATCGGGTGAGAAATTGTCTTCATCCGATGGTGGTGCTATTAGTCGACAAATGGCGTTGTCCATTGCTAAAGTAATTACACAAGAAAAACTATTTGTTAGCAAGGATGAGGTATCGGGCATTATTGATAAACATCGTGAAGATATCAAATTTGATACAAATAGTTTGAGACAAGAAACAAAAGACTCCAATTTCAAATTTCAGACGTCAATCAATGCAGCTTATGAAAAAATTGGGCGCGATTTTACTCAAAGTTTAGAAAAGCTAACTCGAGAAAATGCTGATCAATATGAGAAAGCTTCCAGAAAACTTGCTGATCAAATAAAAGAATCCCAAACACGTTTGGAAACAGTAATCACTACACGAATGAATGAAATAGAAGGTGAAATGGAATCAAGATGCGATAAAATGATGGTCATTGTTACCAGTGCTCAACAACAAGCCAAGGCGGCAGTCGAAACATCGAATAAGGCTGTTGAAACTGGCAAGAAATGTGCCGCGAAAGCCAAAGAATCAAGTGAGCAAGCCAGAGAACTCGTCCTCTCCACTGATAAGCGTAAACAAGAAATACTAGAAGCGATGAATAAAAGTTTGGAAATAACTCGTGAAACAATGGCACAACAAAAACACGAATATCAGGCAAGTTTGAATGAATTACACAGCAAATCAAAAATGGAAATGGAACAAATTCGATTACTGGCCGAACAAGCAAAAACTTCAGCCAGAGAATCAGCACAACTAGCCAGAGACTCCTACAAATCTTCAAAAAAACTTGAGGACATTCATAAAGATGAGAAAAAGAAACTTCAAAATGCATTGAAAGAAACAAGGAAAATATGTGAAAAAGCAGTAGATAAAGCAGAAAAAGCAGCCATAGAGGCTAAAAAAGTGTCAAAAAAAGCTGCAGCCACAGATTAAGTATTTATTTGTAATAATTCATAATTTTTACCGATAACTCTATTATTATTATTATTTCATTTTAAAAAAATAATATCAATAAAATTCTTATAAACAACGATTTGAAAGATTGGGACGGACGAAACCTGGAGAATACCATACGCTGTACGCTCACAAGGTGGAAGATAAAAAGTATAGGTTATATTCATGTTTTACATAGTCGATTTCTTATACTCACCCTAGCATTTGGTCTCTTTCTCACTGACGCTAATTATGTAAACCTTGAGTAGGAGAATCTGACTCCGCAAATATGTCAGCCAGATCTGGTTAATATTGACTTTTCACCAGAAATTAACCGTTGTAGTACCAACTAGGGGCTATTTAGGCCCTGTTCTCAAGAAACAAGAAAACGAGATGAAAATATTTTTTCCATGGATCGAAGTATGAAATACATTCTATGAATGCATTCTATGAATGCATTCTATTTATTGTGTCTAAAATAGACTTGGAAGTACAAGGGTTAATAGAGAAAGGAGGTGCCAACTATGCCCGCCCGTTAATTGTTTTTTTAGTTAACTTTTTTTGTTAGCTGTAGTGTGGTAACGTGAAATCACTACACTAGATCTTGAACTTTTGTAGTGTTAACAAAAAAAGCTTTTAAGAGACGTTCCACGAGAACTTTTACAAAGTGCATAATATAGTCAAAGTTCTTTTTCAATATTGATTTATTGTGTTCAACGAAGCACTTCACGTGTAAAAATTGACATAACATAACTTGAAAGAAATCTATGATTTTAGTGCGTCATATTTCAAGTGTGTTGCACAAAATTGAGAATATTGTTATTGATGTTATATTGCTTTAATTTATATATGGCAAGAGATACAATAGTCAGGCTTGTAGCCTCTGGCTATAAAAATAAGTTACGCTAAACAAAGATAATTTTTCGATTTTCTCCTTTCGGACTATGTGTTTATGACGTGGAATACTCTGTTTAGATAGGATTCGTTTAGTCTTTGACCACTTTCGCTAGTTACACAGTGGGTATTTTTTGCTAGAGCAGGCGGACATGCGGTCTGAAAGCAATCCGGACTTCTACAAAAAAATTTTCTTAGAAGTTTTCGGGTGTGCTATTTCTAAAAAAGTAGTTTTCAAAGTTAAAAGATGATTTTTAAGGAGTTTTCTGGAGACCCGATCTCTGTAAACCCTCTTAAAAACCGTTTTGGAATTTGTAAAGCTCCTTTTTGGAATTAGCGTACACGAAAACCTACAGAAAAATTTTTTATAGACCTCTCGGCTGCTGTTAAAATACATTTTTTTAGGCCAATTAAAAATTTTCATTGCTACGGCTTTTCCCCGGCAGGATTTTGACAAAATCCAAATATATCGGCAGAAAATTTTTGACGCATACATTATTCGATTCAGTTTTTCACGCTGATTCCGAATATGGTATTATATTTGAAGGGAAGTGCATTTATAAGCGAGAAAACCATGAAATACCCCGAAAATCGTGTGAGTTTTAGAAAATTGATATTTCGACTTTGACGAAAAGTCGCATAAAGTCGCATGCAGTATAAATAGAGTAGGTGCTGAAAAATATTTTAATATAATTAGAAGGTCGATTTGACTGTAGCGTTTTTTCATTATACTTAGTTGATCTCATCCCGAACTGGCTCTAAACAAATTCCATACAACGTTCTTTATAGAATTCTGTTTTGAAGTATACATATTTTGATATCAGTAGATAGCTGAGGATCTGCAGATTCCGAATATGTGCTTTTGAATCGTTTAACATAGCTAAGCGAACAAATAATCAAGATTTCATGCGTATGTGTCACTTTCCGTGATATCTGTTATGCACCTCCTGTGGCCTGATTTGTCCTCGAAAGATTGAATATCAAAATAGACATTTATACACCATTCGATAGTGAATTTCAAGAGCTATATTTTACACTATTTATATTTGAAAAACAAGAAATTTCGATTTTTCGCCAAATTTCCGCTTGGATGCCCACTGTGAGTTACGCCCTTGAAAAGAGCACGCGTAATATAAACTTTATGCTCAAGAAGAATAACCTTCGCATTCACTAAGAAAGAGCGAACCCCGTTATAATTAGTGAAACGACAATAAAAAACAGTAACAGGTAAAGAAAAAATCGAAATAAAAACAAAAGAGAAGGAAAAAAGAAGTCACACTTTAAAGATCGATTTAGTTTACGCTTTAATGTTAAATCAGTAGGAAATGGAGAATATATGTGATGCTCAAGGCAGCACTAGGAGACAAAGGAGAGGAACAGGAAATGATACCCGAAAATCTGATACACAGAGCTTGTTACTCGAAAATTTTATTGGAGTGCCTGCACTCGATACAAAATTATAAGTTTATGAATAAACATCAGCATTTCAATACACTGCTCCATCCGTTTGCCTCGTTAAATACAAGCATTTCGAAGCTAACTTTTCATTTCTGAGCTTCTTAAAACTAGAAACGCTTAGTATTATACAATTCATCAGTTCTGGCGGACCATATAAAGGAAACTACGTCCATATTTAACAGTTAATTTTCTTATGTTGATCATGTAGTTAATCCTAATTAACTCTTCTAAATCTTTTATTTTCTCTTTATCATTCCTCCAGATTCTATGTCTTAATATGATATTTTTATTGGATAAGAGTTGGGTTCTGATGGAGAAAATTGCGAATTAGGGGCAAAATTCCGACTTCTCCCAGTAAAGTTGACATTTCGGTATCAACGCACGATATATTTGCAACAAACCATACATATTCTTGAAGTCTGAAAAAGTCCTATCTTTTGACGTAAAAACCACGGTGATCAGTTAAAAGTCATAACGATAAATTTTTCAAACGTCAGGACTAATACATTAAATCTCGATCGAATACTAAAGTATTCCTTCTACATTTTTTCTGTCAGCTCACTTTTTAATAAAGGTTCTTATGTACTCTAACAATGCTTTTAATTTTCTATCGAATGATATAAGTATATTAGTGATTCTGGTGATTTTGTACCGCTTTTAAAGAAAAAAATGACCCAAAATGAAAGTGTCCAATAAAATATTTGAACACTGTAGATTTATAGAGGGTACTTGAAAGTCTAGAAAAAACTCTGTTTCCAAACTACCAAGTCCTTCTCAGCCAAAATTCTGGTTGTTCACTTTTTGGCTCAGGATTGAAAATGCGATTTTCTCTGCTTTTCAGCTAAAAACGCATAACTGAGCTTAAAAATGTATTGAAACATAGGTTTTCATATCTGCTCTGTCAACTGGCATCCTTAAAAAATGGTTTTTGACAATTTCTAACTTTGGGCCTCTAGAAATCCAGGTTTTCTGGAAATGCTTTCCTGAGCTGGTTTTCAGAAAACTGAGCCGGCCATTTAATTCAGGGTGTCAAAATACGTATAATCGTATAATATGAGGCTTTATGTACGAGCCAAAACAATTCTAGAGATTTGTTTGGGGGTGTGATATTTTGATGTATTTCTCAAATTTCTTCCTTTAGAAATAAGCTGAAGCCTTGCTATTTACAGCATAACTTGTGCTACCCATTTGACATATATGGTAAAAAGACGAGTTCTCAATTCTATGTAGTTCGGTCAGGGGAGAGTCAAAAGGGGGTGGGACAAATTATATGTCACAAGCTACTGGACGTCAGTAAAATATCAATTAGTTAAAAACGAAAAAAGCTAGCAGCTTGGGGTTTTCAACAATCTATAGTGCCTACTTTGGTAAATCCTTTCATAGAAAAATATTTGACTTAAAGTGCTTATTGGCTGCGCAGTAGACTCGAAAGGAGGTGGGACACGATTTTTGAACTTTTCGAGGACCAGAAATTTCATCGAAGTTTTCACAGAAACTAAAAGAGATTAGGCAAAACTAAGACTGCAGTTTGACAGAGCAGGTAAAATACTGCACAAAAAAGCAAAAAAGATTTTGTTCCACTGCCCCTTAACAAAAGAAAAATGTTAATTAAGAAAAAAGAACTTGCAGGAACCACTAAGAAAAGAAACGAAAAAGAACCCAAAAACAAAGTGTTTTGCTTACTGTACACTAAGGAAACAAGCTGGAAAAGAGATCTTAGCAGTATATATGGAGTAAAGTGTCCGGAATAAAATGGCATAAGCTTCTAAAAGTTCGATTTAGTATTAACGGAGAACCATGCATTTCCATTAGCTTAAATCGAACGGTACAAAAATCACCAGAATCACTCATATATACAAGTAACGCTCATCTTCGATTCACTAACCCTTGACTGAAAGATTCTGGTGCTAACGAACCCGACATGTACGGTGCGCGAAATTCGCATCTTACAGAAAATGAATTTTGTTGTCTTCGGTATGGTTGAATAAAACTACTCCAGTTATCTACTTAAAACTGATTTCGATGGGTCTAGAAGTCACTGTGAAAACCTTTTAATCGTTTGAAAATAGTCCAAAATGAGGAAACTATTCGTATTACTTCTTCCGAAAGCCAGATTTGTCAGGCGCTGGCTTCACGGCGAAAAGTGTTAATTATCAAAAATTAGCGTTTTTCTCGCTAATTAAGCAAACTGATGCCAGCAGATAAAATATGTGAAATTAAATCTCTGACACTTTTTATTCAGGGCTAGCAGATCTAGGATGTCCTGCTGTTGAGAAAAGTAGTAATTACGTGTTTTTTTTTGTCGCTAACGCTCGGGAGGACGCGTACGACGATGTCGCTCGCCTACTGCGGACGGTCGGACGGACATTTCGTTTGTATGACCCAAGACTTTCAGTCAAGGGAATAAAGCATCTCCAACAGTCCGCGATTACAGATCGCCACGAAGTTGGTGCCAGCAGATAAAATATGTAAAATTTGGTTTCGGACATTTTCGGTTCTAGAGCCAGATTTGTCAGATGCTAGCTTCACGGTGAAAAGTGTTAATTACCAAAAATTAGCGTTTTTCTCGCTAATTAAGCAAACTGATGCCAGCAGATAAAATATGTGAAATTAAATCTCTGACACTTTTTATTCAGGGCTCGCAGATC